TGCATTTTCTACAAACAGCAGTTTACTTCTCTCTGTACAGCAATTGATGTAAAGAAATGGTATATTGTTTTGATTTTTTATATTTTCAATCAAGTTTTGGTATGTGTTTTTGTTACAAGATAGCATATTTAATCACAATTGCGATATTATAAATTCTTTGCATTGCAGTTTTTTTTTTTAAATACCTGTAGCTAAACCTACAGCTGTCAAAAAAANAAAAAAAAAAAAAAAAAAAAAAAAAAAAAAAAAAAAAAAAAACTGGATTTTGGATTTTAAGAAATTATAAATATAAAATATTTCAAATTGGAAATTAAAAAAAATAATTCTACATTGGAAATATAAAATAGTTCCAATGTAGAGAATTTATATATTTTTGTGACGGATAAAGAAAAATGAAATACAAAAAGTATGAAGCTGCACAGTTTAGACAAACAAGTGGCATTTTATCTACAATATCAGTATCGAATCTGCGAATTTATAACTTCTGGTGTACTGGCATAGCGGGTGTATCATCATTGACTGACGCAAGACCCTTTTGTCGAGGAATTACTGTTCCAGTTTTATCCTAAGAACCAAGAGCAACGGCAGAATAAAATAAAGGAGGGTGCAACCCTCTAACAAACCCCCCTCCCCCCCCAAAATTTTTTTTTTTTTACAAATATTCTGTTATTAGGGGAGAGTTGGATAAAACGGGATAGTCGGACAAAACCGGATATGTCGCCTAGGGACCAGACTATTGCACCTATCTAGTGGACAACGACAGAAACGTGTTAGTCGACCGTGATTATATCATTCTCGGTGTGTCACACCTCGAGATCACTATTTCATAGAAAGTTGTAGGTCTTAGAACTTTTCTACTCTATTTTTTGCCATTTTCTACATTTATGTGTGTTGTTTTTTACATTGTACTGCCTACATATATGGGAATAAAATTCCGGTGAGCATTAATAGACTTGAGCTTTTTTATATATAAACAACATTATTTATATATTTGCATTATTTATAATTATATATATGCAAAAAATTAAACATTGTAAACCCTATCCCCTTTTATCCAACCCAGGTATGCTAAAACAGGATATGTAAGAGTTTGGAAATAAAAAATTTTTTCTATTTCACAGTCATTAAAATTAGTTTAAAATATGTTTTGGTATGCTTCAGTAAATGTTGTAGCTACAAAAAAATAATGTATGGTTTTGCTTAAAAGATATTCCATAGTAAATAAACACAATAATGGTATCCCGTTTTATCCAACTCTCCCCTACATTTTGTTTGTTATTACATATACTTTCATCTGTTAATTTTTTTTTCCAAGATACATTTCTTCATTGTTAACAAGATATTTTTTAAAAAAAGTATGAATTTCTTGTACTTGCAAATTTTGCCATGAGAAACTGTATTGATGGGGCTGGCATAGCTACTGACTTTGAAGCACAAATAACTACAAACAATAGTTTCGTATACTAACATGTTTGTGCACGCTTAACATTTGCATATATTGTGTTGATGAAGTTTAACAGTTGAGAGAAGTCAGTTTGTGTCAGTTGTAACTAATAGAAAATATAATATTATTAATATTTTATTAATTAAATGAAATTTAAAAATATAGCTTAGATATCTGCCCAAGAAAAAAATCTTTTTTTGACAGTTTAGATAAAAAATTACTTTTGAGTGTTCGACTTGTGAATAGATTTTACAAATTAATTGCATTCTGATATTTTTTGTAGAAAAAAGTAACTTTACGTAAGTATTTTTTTACAGATTTATATATACAATTTTTAATAGAATTTTCTTAAGTATTTAATCAGTATTTACAATAATGAAATTCCGAGAGGAGTATTTTTTAATGCTGAATGAGTGTTTGTTCAATACTTAATTTAATTTTTTTCTTACAGGAAAGTATGGCATGCTTGTAAAAAAAATTAAAAGTGATATCAGAAGTTATTTTTGCAAAAAGCGTAAAGCTGACGATACTAGTCTAAACTCTAGTATAAGCACTAGTTCAGATTTTATTTCAAAGACTAATCCTGGTACTAGTGCAAACAGCAAACAAGACGATTACAAAACTTGTTTGATTAAACAATTTTTTAATTGTTATGTATCAATAATTACTTAATTATTTGTTTTTGAATAAAAATATTTTTAATAAAAATATTTTATAACAAAATTGTTTTTCTGTAGCTATTTAATTGTTTAAAAAAAAAAAGCCAGGGGGGTCACCCCGCTGCCGGCACCCTTGCTAGGGACATTTCAATACGTGAAGATGATGGAAAAGTTTTTGGATAATGAAATATTTGGCTCACCTGGATTGTTACATTATAGTTGGGATTTTGCGTAAATTGCAGCATGTTGTTCGATTTGTTTTCTTAGTTTATAATGTTATTTTTTATTATTTTAACAACCATTTAATGTTCCTTAATATCTACAAATCCTCACTTATAAAAGTCAGAGTGGACATTTTATCACTCCAAATGGTAATCCTTTTTTGATACATTAATTTACAAACTTGTGGCATCTGGATCTAATTAAGTAGTTTCATACTAAGCTAAACAAATTAAAGGAACCTTGTATATAGAGAAACATACACTAAATGATACTAATAACTAAAGAAACAATTTTCTACAAAAAACAACCTAAAAATTATATACTTTGAGAAGCAGCAATATTTATATAAGAAATAACCAGCATTAATTAAACTTATATTATTGTACTGTATATATATGGGTCATTCTCACGAAAACTGTCATTTTTCAGTTCATAAAATCCCAAAAAAGTAAAGTGAAAAAAAGCTCTGAAACTTTTTATATTAATAGAAATATGTAATGGCATTATAAAGAAAGTATATATCCTATAAATTATACTTAATATTTAAATTAATTAATTTTTTAAATAATTAATTTATAATTAATTAATTTATAATAATTAATAATTAA